TTGAAATTTTGACATCCTCACTTTTTGGAAAAAGAAGTTCAAGATACAAGTTTATGTGCAAAAAATAAATTAAACAATAAAAGTCTCCTTATATTTATGGAACTTATAATAGAAAAATTTTTATTTCATTACCCAGACTTTATGAATAGCCTACTCTATAAGTAATAGTAGAAATTCCGAATTAGTAAGTTCAGTCAAGACGTCATTCAAAAGTTTTGAAGAAAATCACTTTTCTCTTTTGTGAAAATTTGGGACTATCTTATGCGAGTATTGTCGACAAAATGTTAGTCTATGAATGACTAAAAATTAACGAATAAATGGTTAATCGCGATTGATGATTAAAATTAATTAAGCGATCGCTGTGGTGTAGTGGTTAGAAGTGCGCACTACCATTCCGCAGGGTGAGCGTCCGAGCCCAGTTCCGGCCAACAAAAAAAAGAAAATGTTTTTTGTAATAGTGGTCGGCCCCCGGCAGGAGTCGGCGTAAAACTGTAGGTCCCTCCCCTTTGTGCGACAACATCAAGGCGCATGCCACAATCGGAGGAGTAGCCCTAACATATGTCGCTGGTCCTCTGCAATAACGGCACAATTCAAAATTTCAGGTTTAGAAAAATACATAATTTGAAAGCTTACAGTATGACTGCATATAATTACGTTCCAAGACATATTATTGCTAAATTACGAAACAAAAAATCTTTAATTGGCTCTACTGAAATATATGAAATTTTTAGTTGTGTCGATATGTAAGCGCCTTTCTATTATTATTAGTAATCATCAATACAATTTCAAATTACATAAACCCAGTCACAGCCCTTTTTTGTATTCGACGCTTCCAGAAATCACATAATACATAAAATAAATAAAAGCTGTTTTGATTAATATTACATAAACTGGAAACTGTTAAAAATAAGTGCGCTTGTGTACAGAGATTTTAGAACCTATTTAGTTCCGAAAATGTCTGTTTGCAACACATAACAATAAAAATGCACATCAAATTGCCAAGAATGATGAAGGAAATCGATTCAGACATGCCTGTTTAACTGGCCGTGCGTGCTCAAAACAAACACATGTTAATTAAGGAGCTATTCAAGTATTATGTAACCACCAGTGGAAAGCGGGGGTCTTGGTTTCCTTATTTTTAATAACAACGGGCAACATTTCTTCAAATAAGTGAAACATTAATTACACACGCACACATTTTGCCTGCAATTTCGATCACAATTGAACACTGCACTTCACTCTCGTTTCGGATTTTTGAAAGCGTTCTTTAAGCTATTTAGTGGTTTAACACTTCTTGTGGGCACTTGATATTGTAAAAAAAATATGCGCAATTCGATCCCTAACTACATTTTTTTGTAAAGAACGCCCGTTTGCTTTAAATTTGTAAAAATATAATTATTTTTTTAATTTGTTTACGTCTGTCATTTGTTACAAATGAAGAAAAGTCCAAGAGTTGCCAAGTATAAATATCTTTATATCTATTTATTAAAATAATAATTTACAATAATAATTTATTTAATTAATACTTTATTAAAATACAAATTTGAAGTGCAAATACATTTGTAAAACTGTTTATCACAAAATGTTATTAATTGTTTGCAAGCATACTATAGTTTTCATGCATTTTGAGAATAAATAATCTAATATGTGTACATATATATCGTCGTTTAAAGTACAAAACCGCCTATCGTCATTCTTGAAAACCGTGTGACTGACATTGGCTGCCAAAAATTGGATTTGCTCACAAAAACTCTTGGCTCAATTCTTATCCATTCGTCCTGAAATATACTAGCCAGAATACGTTTGCTTTATAAAAAAAGATAACCATTTTGAAATATGGGTGACTTTACTCTCTAGAAAATAATTTATGCAATTACGCGGTTTTGCATTTTCTTGATACGCGGTTTTGTACTTTAAACGACGATTTGTATAGCATGTACTTACGGCGGCCGCCGTAGCAGAGTGATTACATGTGCGTACTTCCACTCCATAGGACCATGGTTAAATACCTGGTCAGATCATAGCCCAAAATAGCAGTCGTCCTTCGGCACGCAATGGCAAACCTTCGAGTATATTTCTGCCTTGAAAACTCTTCTTATAAAATTAGAACTCATGCCTCAAGTTTGAGCAGAAGTTCGGCCAAACACTTAGAAAAATATTTTAGCACCAAATATTTATTTGTTTACTTATTTTAAGGGAGATGGCAATCTTCTGGTTTCACATTTTGAGTACAAAAATTTCAACCCTGATACAACAAATAGTATTAGTACTGAATGATAATGACAGATTGCATTCCCATAAACGTCCAATCATACATGATTGAGTTTTTTTTTTGCATTCACATTCTCTATGTGAATGGGTGTCAACCATTCCATAACACACTACATATTTTGTGTTTACAATTTGTAACCAATCTCAAGAGTGGTTGTTAAATTTTTTAAATCAAACAATCACATTTTTGAAACGAAAAAAAATGAGAATGCACACTCAATTGATTCAATCATTACACAGCTCTGGTATGTATATACAGAAGCTATGGCAAAGATTCCGCCATATTTTTGGTTGGAAGAATGGCGGTAAAAATCACAATTTTCTCCTTAGGGTGGTTTAATTAAATGCTTGCACATCTTCGTGTTATACTAGACTTCCTCAATAAGCACTTTGCCTAGAGCTGAAGTCCTGTAATGCACCATCATCAGTGACAATTTCTCATTCCTCTTCCATTTTTCTTGTACTTTTCCACTATCGCTTTGGACGTATCGTAAACAAAGCCTAAGTACGGGTTGAGATTTTGACCATTGCTTCTTTGGCTAAACTGTCTGCTGCCATATCTCTCGCTATACTTTTTTGGCGTTGTACCAAAGATAGTCGTATGTATGCTTATATATATAGAGAGTGCCAGTTAGCGTCCAAATTTGGCCGTTTTTAAGGGTACAGAAGAACTTTTAGTCTACGTTTTGGTTGTTGGTATTCCACTTCGTATTCGTCGTCATATTCTTCATCTTATTCATCTTCGACTTCGTCATCGTTTTCGGCTTCGTATACGTCTTGTCTTTAGATCCTTTACATATGCGCATTTATGTTCGGATTAGTTTTCGTATTTATCTTCGTATTCGTTTTAGTCGCTGCCTTCGTATTGGTCCTCGGATCGTATGCGTATTCCACTTTCGTATTCGTCGTTGTATTCTTCTTCGTACTTATCTTCTTCGTCGTCTTTGTACTCACCCCCGTTTGCATCCTCGCATTTGCATTCGTCTTCGTTTCAGTGCTGTCTTTGCTTTCGAATCAAAATCATCTTCGTATTCGTTCTCTTCTTCGTATTGCTATTTGTATTCGTCTTCGTATCCTGTGTTTCCTCGTATTCGTCCCCGTATTCGAAATCAGCTATTAGTATTATCATACAAGCTTGATATTTTTTTTGGTAATACACAGGGCTTTCGCAGGGTAATTGGGCTGGAAGGCGGTGTCCTCGGTAAATGTCTTTTAAGGCCCATCTCCTAACTTTGGAGTCAGAGCGCGAGATTAGTGGTTGAATGGAAGGATTGCCCCTTAAAAAGGTTTGAATTTAATTTTTCGTAGTCATTTCATCGTTGATAATATACAAACATATATATTTCATACATTTCCAAGTATTTTATAGAGGATATAAGAACCTTTTGGCGCCGCACACTGTTTCGACTATATGGAGGCAGATGGAAAGAATAGTTAACCTGCCCTGGGAATAGGGAATTATAAAATATGGTAAAGATGGGTTAATTGCCACGCCCTCTACTCTACTGGGTGGAAACATTAAATTTCATCTGATTTCGATATAATTTAGTTTTACTGTCACTTTTGTTAAAAAAAAAAACCCCAAATATAAAATATTGTAAAGATTATATCGCTATAACGTCTACAACTGGCATAAAATGTTGGCCCAATCATTAAATATAATGAAATTTTGGCTAATTTTTGTTTTCTGCTTTACAGTCTCAAAAAAGAAAAGCTGTGAAATTTTGTATTTATGATTGAAGCTCAAATGCTATTCAAATTTTATTAAAAGCCGTTAGCATTTACTATTTCCGCCGTCTAGTGTAGTGGGCGTGGCAGTTTTCAAGCTATGCCACTTTTCATATTTCTTCATTGCTAAGCAATGTGGCATATATTAGCGAAATCGGAGCACGCTTGCTACATTTTGCCTTTGTGCTTATAAGGGGATTTTCCACTATGCGGCAGGCCTCTACACCTCAGTTGCAATGGAGGTACTTCAGGCTGATTTGTCGAATAATTCTTTTTCGTATCTAGTCAAGGCACATTAAACAGGTAGTATCAGTAGAGCAAAAACAACATTTGCGTGTATTTTGTTGTTGCTTCTGGTATCGAAAGTGTCAACAACTGTTCTGAATTTTTTCTTCTAAATCAAAGCGTGCCATGTGAAATACAAAAAAATTATAAAAAATAAAAAATTGAAATTGGAAAAAATAAAAATTGATGCAACTTTCTTTCCTAGTAAATTTGTTTGCTTCTCGAAGCATTGATCCATCCTTTGCAAGGCCCAGTAATCAGCGGTCGTGCTGCCGAGTTGGGCGAACGTTCCAAAAGCTGCTATTCAATCGCTTGTTTTGTATGGAAAAAGGTTTCACAAGCAAATGGATTTTAACAACTTATAATTTTCGTGAGAAAAAATTAAAAATATTTGACATTTTCGAGACCAAATAATTTGAAAATAAATCAAATCAGCTGCTCTACTGATACTACCTGTTCAATGTACCTTGCATCTAGTAAGTAAAGCCAGTAAGAGCTGAGAGCTCAGCTTTTCTCTACGTTCCTTGATGACATGATTTTTAATAAAGTGCGTTTCACCAACTAACTAGTGCACCGCTAAATGTACAAATAGCGTCTACAGCACGAATATTACCACAATCGGTTTTGATCGACATTTCTGCATTCATTAGATTAAAAAATTGGGACATTTTTATTATGAGATACTAACGTTTGTTTTTTCTACTATTTCGTTCCAGAAATATCGTGTTCAATCTGAGCATACACGATCTAACGGAACAGCAGCGCTTGGTGTGGCAATCCACCGAGGATGACGTCAAGATGTGTATTATTAAAGGCAAGGCCGAGGTAAGTGCAATTAAATTTAATAAATTAAAATTTTTTTTTTCTATTTATGAAATTTAGCTAATACGCGTATGTACTTGTATGTATGTATGTACATATATGTGAGCCTACAAAGTTTTATTTATGTTTGCAATGACATAGTGAAATCATAACAAAAAAAAAAAAAAATATGAAGGATAATATAATGAAATAGAGGTAAAAATAAATTTACGTCATTTCAAGTTCTACACCCGTTGCCGCCGTCGCACAATAGCCACGTAGCTATAATACGTGTGTCATTAACAACAAAAGTGCTTACGTGCGCCGCACAATGGGCCAGATACCATCAAGAACTGCCAAAAAAAAAATCAAAATTTTTTCACTCTGACTCTTAAAAAAGTTTTAACGTCTAAATTCTTTAATTTTAGGTTTTATTTTTTTTGAGCTCGAATTCATGGGGAAAGAAACAAGGACTTACAATTCCATTCTGGCTAAGATAGTAAAAAGTCTTTGCTAAGGCAAATGAAATACGGATGGCAAGATAGTTCGAAAGACTTTTAAAAACTTTTTAACAATTGTTATTCTAGCACAAAAAGTCTTAGAAAGAAGCACACTCATCCACCACTCGTGGTGAAAAGCTCTTTTGCCATAATGCACTTGTACATATTCCACTTTGCTTGCGCAGCTCCTACAGCCGAAAACTGGTGCCCTACTCGAGAGATACGTATTCGAGTACTCGGGGAGCTGCTTTTTTATTATTTTTCCTATTTAATTTTTTATTTTCTTTTTTAATTTTATGGTTTGAAACGCAAAAATATATATTTTTTTTATATTTGCTTAATTTTTTGGAAAGTTTGTACATATGTATTTTTTTAGTTTTTGTTTATTTTTTAGTTTCCTTTTAATTTATAGGCTTGATTGTTTTAAAAAGCAAAATATATATTTATAGTTTCCTTTTCGTTTTCTGATTTTCTTTTAAAAAGAAAAAAAAGTTATGTATTTTTTTGAACTTGTTTTCTTTTTATCTACTTTTTTCATTTTTAATTAATTTTTTTCTATTTTAGTATTTAAAAAAAGTTTTTTAAATTTTATTTTTCTCTTTTAGGTTTAATATTTTTGTTTTTTAAGAATCTTTTTCCTAATTTGGTTTTCTCTTTACTTTTAATTATTTTTTTTAATTGTTAGTTTTTATTATTTTAAAAAGCAAAATATGCATATAAATATTTTTAGTTTTATTTAATTTTTAAATAAACTTATTGCTTAAAGACAAACAGAATAACAGAATAACGCTAAGCCCTCCTCTTTGGCAGATCTTTCATTTAGTCTTTCGAATGACAGTAAAGAGCTTTCTAGATAGTTACCAGAATTGGCAATAGTCTTACGAAAAACTTTTTCCTTTCGAAAGACTGTGGTGAGTTGAAAGGCAGTTGCCAGAATTGCCCTGCTTTAGCATAACCCGAGAAAATGTAACCTAGAAAAACCTAATAGGGATATTTTTAACTGAGCTCTAATCCGGTAATTACCAGTAAAAAAAAAACAGTGGTAGCACTATTAAGTAAGATGATAACGCAACAGTTGATGACGATGACAGTGGTGAAGATGATAATGCTTTAACATATCTTCAATAATAAACTTTTATAACATATACACCTCGTGTCAAAATAATAAGTGCACCACAAATCAAGTCAAGTTTGGACAATTTATTTTTTTTTTAGTTATTTTCTAATTTCAGAGTTTTTTTTATAAAAAACTATATAAGTTCAAGTTTTAGGCTTTGCACAATATTTAAAAACTATTCAACAAATTTTGATAAAAATTTCAAGTTTTTAACTTAGATTTCTTTGAAAGATTTTGATATTGCAATTCTGGAGCCAACTAAATTTTAATATAATGGGGTGCAAGCTTGAAGTAGCTACGTAGGTCTTACCATTGATTTTTGGTATTTCTTTTTCCTATATAAAAATAATTTTTAACGATTTTTAATTGATACAAATAAGTTCTTTCTCAAATTTGTTTTTTTTTTTGTAATAGTGGCTATGTCTAGGAAAACATTCGATCAACTTTAGAAAATCTAAAACCTTTAGTTTTAGTGTTTGATGGCAATTATGAGGGTCTCCTGTCCCAGTGTGCAACGTTCAGCTGTTTGTATAAATTGTATGGTGTTGTACTGTGTGCGCGCGTTTCGTGCTTGCAGCTGTAATTAATTGTACTTTTTTTTTTAATTTTTCGCGTCTTGAGCGCTAAGCGCGCCGTAAAACTTTTATCAATTAAAAATAAACATGACATAATATGGTAACGGCAACTGCCACGGACGGCGACGCAATCAAAATGGCAAGCAATGTGTTTAAGCGCCTAAAAGCATACATAAGCAAATGCAAACACGCGCAGACACACACACACACACACACGGAGATCGGCGGTGCAAATGTGTGGCATATGATGTATGCATCTGCATGGTCGTCGCATAATTATAGGCGTTTCAAAGTGCACTTGAACATGCGAACGGCGCTGCAAGGCGCTTGAGACTACAGACATACTTACATACTACATTTAAGGAAGCCGTGCTGGCACAATAATGGCTACAAAGCAGAAAGTGCGCGAGACGCAAACGAAAGCGTCGACCACCTGCCAAGAAAAACAGCTTACTTCAAGCGCTCTACATAAATTAAGAAATATGTATGTATGCATGTGTGTAGTGAAAAAAGAGAACGCACATTTTTCTCGTCAGATTGTAGGTCAAAAGGTCATGCGGCAGCAAACGTTGATTGCTTAGTTTAACGCCATCAAGCAGCTGCCTTTCTCACTTAGTTATTTCATAGGCAATTAAATCCGAAGAGCTTACAGAAGATATCTCATATCGATTTATGTGCATAATTTTAGGCTCAACCACATTTTCACTTAATCAGTTATGACGACACGTCGCGCGCATTTTAGCGCTAATTAACTATGTACTTCAAATCTAATACGCGCTCACATCACATCACATCAAAGAAAAGCCACAGCTTTGTTGAGCGTGCGCGATAAGCACTTAAAACCCAACCACATTTAAGGCACCATAAAGCATGTCAGCTCCTCACCACACCGCTTCTTCCTTGGGCTTTGTCGCACGGAAGTCACAACAATTGGAATTCGTGTACTATTTTACGGCAATTTGTATGCCAACTTTGATGGCATTTTTGTCTGTCCGTACATCGGCTTTATCAGGCAATGCCATGCCAGTGACACAACTCAGCTTACCGCTTTACATAGTTGTTCGCAGGTTCGCAGTTAAAGGGCCACCACACTACTTTCGATTCATTTGTGCTGCATACCGGCAGTATTGTAAATAAGTTTATTTAAATGCATGTATCTGCAAGCGTTTGTGTGTGTACGAATCTTTGTTGGAATGCAATTAGAGTTGGCGAAATATTTTGCATAGTCACGCAATTAGAAAACGTCGTCGTCGTAGTCGCCAATGTCGTTGTCGTTGGCGCACAGCAAAGAATGAATGGGTGAATGAACGAGTCACAGTGGGCGATTTTGATAACATTTTGAGACTTACAAATACTTTAAAAAAAATTGCTGAAATGGGAAATGCGCTAGAAACAAGGAAGTATTTTGAAAATAGTTACTGAACTGTTAACAATTTTATGGAAAGCACTTCTCTAGTTTTGCAGTTTCCAGCACCGGCCCACATCAAACTCTCCGATAAAAAACATATAATTTTTCCTGAGATATAAGAAAAAATGATTTTACAATTAAATTTCTTAAACAATTTTTTCTATAAACTTTTGTATGTTTGGCTTTTGGTAAAATGATTTCTTCTAGGAATTACCTTTTAAACTTCTTTAAAACAAATTTTCTCTCAAAAATGCAAACTCCTCAAAAATGTTTTCTAAAAATGTTTCTATGTATAAGCTTCCATAAATTTTTGTTTATGTAATTTATTTTACTCTTAAAATTGTATTCGATACTTTTTATATAATACATTTTTTTCTAGATAAAAGAAAAATTATTTTTTACAATTCGATTTCTTCAAACATTTGTTTTCTATAAACATTTTTTATCCAAAATTATTTCTTCTAGGAAATACTTTTTTAAATTTATTTTCTATCAAACAACAATTAATACATTTTCCAAAAAATGGTTTCTAAAAATTTCTCTATATTTTTATAAAAAATTATGTTTATGTAATTGCTTTTATTCTTAAAAGTTTATTATTTTTTATATAATAATTTTTTCTAGATAAAAGAAAAAAATGACTTTAAAATTCAATTTCTTCAATTTTTTTTCAATGAAATTTTTTATGTTTGGTTTTTGGTAACATTTTTTCTTCTAGGAAATAATTTATTTTTTTTCTTTGAAACAAGTTTTTTCTAAAAATTGCTAGATCCTCCAAAGAATGTTTTCTAAAAATATCTATACATATTTTTCTTAAAATTTATGTTTATGTAATTTATTGTATTCTTAAAAGTTACTATTTTTATATAATGCATTTTTTTAAGTAGTTTTATTCAGGTTTTTTTTTTTAATTTTTCTTGTTTTGGTGAAGGTTCTTATTTCTAAATTTGTATGATAAAAATACCTAAGTAAAGATGGAGCACATTGTAAAAAACAGAAAAAATTAAACTGATTCACACAATTTTCTTATGAGTGGAGAAATTCTTTGGGTAGCATGTTTCGCTTGGTCCTGAAAGGGGTAAGATTCTAAAGTTTACAAGTATACTCGCAGCGGAATAGATCACTGATCGGTACACCTTTATGTCCAGGTCACTTTACTAGCATTCGATCAGGCTGCCCTATGTTAACTGTATCTTTTCTTATGTTCCGTGTTCATCCACTGTCCCCAAAGTTAATGGGAGAGTCTGGATGAAGCTTTACGTCTCCATTGAACCCTAACAACTGGTCGTAAAATCGACCTCTCTACTATTATGACCGGGTGACTCCTCTTACTATTTCGATTACCAAAAACCCTATTCATTGAAAGCGCTGGCAGCCGCTGAACTGGTAGCCTCCCAAGGAAATTATTCGCTGTTGTTGTTTTG